CCGGGGCGGCTGTCGTCACGCGGGGCGGCTGTCTGTTGTCACCCGGGGCACCGGCAGAGAGAGGAGGGGCTGCCAGCGGGATAAGGTATGTCAGTGATTTTGGTGTCACCCGGTGTGGGCCGCAACCCCCACTGACTGGATGGTTCCGTTACGAATAGTATTAATAGTAATACATAGGGAAGGATTGAACAGATGTTTTTTTCGACTTGCTGCGATTTTAAAGATGCAAAACATGTCCTGTAGATCTGCAGAATATGATTTAAAAAAAAAAATGCCCAGACACTCATTTTGACAGTGTAGCCTGGAGTGGGGTAGGCGACCTTGGGACTACAAGTCCCATGAGGCATTGCTAGACTCTGACAGCCACAGGTATGACTCCCAGAGGCAAAGGCATGGTGGGATTTGTAGTTTTATCACAGCTAGAGGGCCGAGGTTGCCTCTCCCTGCTATATACAGTGGTAATGTGTCCTTGGTTATCGCATCTGCCTGATCTCCGAGCCTGTACAAGTGCTGACTCTTATCTACATGCAGTGCCTGATAGTGGCCAGCAGAGGGCAGACTACTTCCAGTGTGACTAAGGAAAGCAGTGATGTCACCCACATGAGCTCATTATCCGTATGACAAGTATCGCTCGTTAGCTTTCTTGACGATTTTAAAGGCTCTTTTGATGAAGACTTCACAGATTAAGTATCACTGAACTCAGCTGACTCCTTTGTAGTTGTGCGGTGTTCCAGGGTGTGTGCTCCCGGAGTATCGGGGGGGAGGGGAGGTTATTCCTGCACAGGCAGCTGGAATGGAATATGAACTGAAAAGTGCAGTTGTGGTTCAGCAGCTTTTAATCCTCCTTTCGGTTCTCTCTGCTGCATTCAGTCTTCAGCCCATCTTCTTCTCTGTGCTTTTTGCTCTGGTCAGTACACAAAACTACAATAGCAATCATTAATGCGCCCCCTTTTTATCCTTTTTCCTGTAACATGTAACAGGTAGCATTTTGAAAGCTGAACTCCAGGCAAACGGCTAAATACACAAATGAAAAGGAGCTACAAGGATTTATATTTCTGTACATCGAGTTCTGGGATTTACAAACAGCACAGCCCTGTCTGTCAAGGCACGAGACTGGATTTGTATCTACTGCAGTTCACTATCTTTGACTATTCTTGCCCCCCAGCCTGGGATTGAACAGTGAAGGAGAAGTGGCAGACCAATGTGATATCTCTATCACTCTGCTCTCTCCTCCTGTCATCATGTCACCTGTTAGCACATGATCGCTGCAGCCTAACTGATCGGATCCTTGTGCAGCCTTTTCCTTTCATAGTGTGAGCTCTGCTGTACTGGCACTGCAAGAGGCTGGTAGTAAGTCACATTCAGGTACTCACACTGCTTGCATGTGGAAACAATACTTTTAATGATGTATTAAAGAGGACCTTTCCCCATATCTGTAAAATAACAACAAAGACACCTTTAGAAATGTTTAATAATGACAATCTACACACAGATACTTCTAGATAATTGCCGGGTTTGTATTCTTTGCATTCCTGATTTCTCTTTTCTTCCCCAGTCTTCTGACAGTGGTCATGTTTACTAAGGGCAGATTACTAGCTCTCCTTTTACTTCCTGGATTTCTGGCACATGTGACTAGACATGTGACCATGCGCATCATCTCAGGGGAGGAAAATGCCTTTCCCTGAGATGAGATTTCCCAGCAATGGTCTGCCGATGACAAGGCAATCCCAGTGCGCATTGCTCTGCCAAACTGAAGTCATTTTGCCCTTTGAAAGCAGGAAGTGAATGCTCTGCCAGTGTCAGTGTTTCACAATCACAGCATTCTACACCTGACATGTCTATGTTATTATTAATCATCATACATGGAGGGATGCATGGGGAGAATTTGAGTGTAAAGATCTGCTATAAGGAATGCAGAGCTGCAATATTCTTTGTATTTTATACCTGCACGGGGTTCAGCTTTAAGACCCGCTGCCATGTTCCAGAATTGAGGTATAGAGCTTTGATCTGCAGCCAAATGTTCATGTGGGAGCTGTCATTGTGGGTGAGGGGCAATATAGTGACAGTTGGGGGCGGGGGCACTGGACAGGAAGTCTGCTTTGTGCTGGAAAACATCTTCATTTGAAGTGCCTTCTAGGCTTTTTCTTGAATATAATAAGCCGTTTGTGGTAAGTGACTACTACGTGTTGTGGCCCTTTAAGAGGGGGTGAAGCCTGCAGTACTATGTCATTATTTGTATCTCATCTCACCAATATTGAGCAATAGGAGTTCAAGTGACCTTCTCCATCTTCATAGTGATACTGAACTCCATTCATCAGTCATTAGGCGTTTGTGTTTAATTTGCACTCCCTTTGACTCCTGCCCTGCTATGCACCCCATTTAAAGGTCGCCAATCACCTAAATCTCATAGAAGCTGTGGCACGTTCCTGTAGTTTTAGGAGTCCTTTTCAGGCTTTTAAAATAATCATTGGTGATCCTTCTTCAGGCTCTTCCTGTTATAATGGCAACCCTCTGTCCTTGTCTGCACATTCTGCTCTTGTGTTCTTACCCTGTGATGAAACTCCCCATAGGACTGTAAATGTCTGTGCCAATGATCATTGCGCAGACATGGTCCACCATTGCCACCGTCAGGAAGCCAGTCCTGAGCAATGACTCGCCCTATGAAGAATCGTAACGTGAGACTTTTATGATCGTATCTGGCCAATGTGGTATGATTTGACCAATCACAAAAGACCGGCATCTTTTATGATTGGTCAGATTTGCTATTTTTTCCAATTCTTTTAGCCGGTGCACATGTAACCCCCTGGCAGTACAACACCATTGGCACTGATGGGGTGATAGCTGGGTGTGGATGTTAGATGAAGGGGAATGGGGGTAGCTGTTTCTCTATCTGTACTATGATGGTGGTATCATCGTTCATATCAACATATGTTTTGTACACAGATGGCATGTTGCAGTTTTACATCGGGCAGCTCCAGAGCTCGGTAGAGATGACTCGCTGCGGATTCTCCCTGGCACTGGGTGCCCTGCCACGGTTCATGCTCAAGGGCAAGCTTCAACAGGTATGAGCGATGTGCGCACACTGACACGGGGGGGGGCTAGTCTTGCCAGGACCATCTGTCACCTCTGCGTGCATTCAAATGATATAGAAACTGTGACTCTGCACTAATTAGCAGTATGCAAATGAGATACCAGAACTAGTCACATGACATAAGTGTATTTCCTGCTGCCTCACCAACTCGGGAAAAGTGCAAATCACTACGGAGAGGCATTTTATAGGTGGAGAGCCCCGGGGTATGTCATAATCATGGGCTGCTCGAACACTGAATATGATCGGGTATCTGTGTGTGTCACGGAGGCCTGAGCAATCCATGACGTTTAGGGGAATACCAGCTCAGACCTAAAGGCTTTGTTTGTTTGGGATGAAGTAAGAAATGGTTAAAGCCCGGGGTGGGCACCCTGGGCACTCCAACTGTTCTGGAACTACAAGATGCTGAACAGTACAAGACAGTTGATGAAAGACCCAGAGACTGATGAATGCAGCATTCTGGATATATTCTGGATGCACCGATACTAGTATCTGTATCAGTGCTGATGCCAAGTATTTGGGTGAGTACTTGTAGTTGTCCAAATGCTCCGGCTTCATGCTCACTCGTCACTTGTGATGAGGGAGCTTGGAGTCGGCTTCCCAGCCAATCAGGAGGCCGGGCAGCATGTAATGACGCTGCCCGGCCTGGCTTCCTTAATGGGACTTCCGGTATATGTATTCGGTTTCGGTGAGCACCGGAAAAAATATATTCGTACTCAATACCGAAATACCGGTATTGATGCATCCCTAATATATATAGAACTGCAAAAGTTTTAGGCAGGTGTGAAAAAAGTAATAATACAATACAAGCGTTAACCACTGCGCCACTGAGCTGCCCTGTACTAGGGTGACAACGCTCACTCACTGTGTCTGTGGATTAGCAACATTGTCACCCTAGGACCCTAGGTGCGTTAAGACTACAGAATCCCCCCCACCATTCTTCATCTCCTTAAGAGAGAGATGATCTGCACAGGGCTGATACGATTGCTTGAGATTTCAGTGCAGCAGAGAACGCAGGAACCTATAAACACACTGGATTTTTGGCAGGATCAACTGTTTTTTTGTTATTGCCCTTCTAGACCAGATGTAACAAAATGCTTCCCATGCTTACCAGACCAAAATGTAGGCAATGGGAGAAGTCATTGTTGGGGTTTCCATACACTAAGTGGCCACTGAGATGGGAAACGAAAGTCTCGAGCACAGAAGTCGGCAGGTGTATGGGCAGCGGATCTGTAGATGGTTCTGGGTGCGGGAGCGTGATTGCAGTCTATGGATAGCAGGACGTGTAACCTGACATGTGACATTTTGTTTTGAAGGTCCTGGAAGGCCTGCGGAGGGTCACCTGCATCTCCCAGAAAGACGTCAGCTTTGCTGAAGCCAGAAGAGACGCCCTGAAGGCCATATATCTGTACGTCATTTATTCTGCTTTATGGTTTTTATTCCCGGCGGGGATGTTTTGTTGTGTTATGAAGATTGTATGGATATGGTAATGTGATGGGCCTGCAGGTACAATGATTCCATCCATCTGATCTTAGTAAGAGGAGTCTGATTACATGATGGGATCTGCTTTCCCTTTTCATCGCCCCTCCAGCATCCCCTTTCCCCTGAGTTCTTCTTTAGAGTGGATGGAAAGGCTAAAGTAACCCACGTGTAAAACGTTGCCTTCCCTCTAGTCTCTGCATACAGATTGTAAGAAATCTCGGTGTCAATACCTTTCCTCTAATCTTCCTTTAAGCTGCGACACCGTAAAGCTCCTCTGTGTAGATGTGCAAGCTGACAACAGGACTGAACCACGCAGAGCTGTGACTTCACCCACCGGCTTCCATTTCTCTAGCCCGTTGTCACTTACACTGAGGAACCGGAGCTTTGGAGTCACATGACCACTCAGAAGAAGATTTAAAATGTTTTATTTACACTGAGATTTCCTACAAACCGCATGCAGTCTGCATAAGATCAGTGGGGGGAGGCCATGCTTTATACTTGGGTTGTTTCAGCCTTCCCTTCTACTTTAATGCAAAGGACACGTTCAAATAAAAACATAAAATAAATAATTGCCCCCTTACAGCCTGGCTTCCGGCATGCTCGCCTGGGCAAGGGTGATGTCACTGGGCACGATTTGGAACCCTTAGCTTTCCAGGACCCTGCAGTTACAGCCAAGTGACGTGACCCTCACCTGTGCAAGCCAGTGAGTAAGCCAGGTTATGTTTTTTTTTTTACTTTAAAGGAGAACTATGGGGTTAGGGCTTTTCCCAATAGTTCTCCTTAGGGTAACGGGAGGACACAAACTAGCGCCCTTCCGTCACCCTAAGCTCAGTATACCGCGAGCTGTAGCTCCCTATATACTGAGAAGACGCAGCTGAAACGGGTCCCGACAATTATGTCTGGATCCGCCCAGCTGTGTGAGTGACAGCTGGCTCTGCCTATCTAGAGGCCATTCCACCAGTCAGCGCTGGCGGATCGGAGCGGGGGGAATCCAGCCCCTCCCCTGTCACGGCAGAGAGCCGTGACAGGATCGAGAAGTGAGCGAACGCCGGTATGTGTTCGCTCACTTCCCGATCTACTGAGCCGACCTGTGACAGTCTCATTGTCACAGGTCGGCTAGAACTATGAGGTGAGTGAAAAGCACCCACCTCATAGTTCTCCTTTAAGTAAAAAAGTGAGGCAAAATCTCCTTAAAGGATACCCAGCCAGCAATAAAACCTTGAACCCTTCCCTGCACCATCCTGAAATGAGCAGAGTTCCTCTTAAACCTTTACTGAGCTGCTGACTGTGTAGCTGCAGGTCTGGCACAAAGCTTGTGCACAACCAGGAAACATTTTCTCCATTGTACACCAACTCTTCCTCCCTCTGCTCTCCAGGGTCTGCCAGAGTGTGGGGGTCATCGCTGATGGCTCACCGGACGACGTGTTGTGCAGGGACAACGTACCCCTCGTCTACAAAACACTATTAGACTGCATGAACGACTACACCACCGACAGTCGGGGGGATGTGGGAACATGGTAAGAGACTCTCAGAGATCACCAGAAAGGGGTTTTCTTATCGGTACAATTATTCGGGTGCATAATCCACATGAATCATGATATTACATCCTTTAGAAGTTAAGAACTGAATATGTGTAATTTTATTTATCTTTAGGGGAGACAAATCTCATTACTTTTCAGTATTATTATTATTATAATACAGGATTTATATAGCGCCAACAGTTTACAATCCCAATACAATTCAAGACGGTAAGGACGGCCCTGCCCCTGAGGGCTTACAAGATAAAAGTATCTGAACTCCCACTCCTTTCTCATAGACATTTGTGTTTAAGTAACATTTCAAGTGAAAAGTCAATGTGTCAGCTTTAGATTGAAAAGACATTTCCATCGTATTTCTGGAGAATGGTGAATAAGTTCCATATCATTTCTGTGATGTCGCAATATAACAGCTTCAAAGGCCCGGTGATGCAGCAGAACTTTTTATTCTCTTTGCATACTCATATTGAACCACAAGAGGGCAGCATTGCACAGTGTATACATTTGTCTTGAGACGATAAACTTTGTGTTTGCTGCAACCAAGTTCTGATTTCAGTAACCCCCATCATTCCAACATGACTTGTTACCCTATATAAGTAAGTGGGAAAACCACGTCAAAGTTTAATAAGTCTTCTATAGCGCTGTTGATTTATATAACCATTATTTGGCTCTTATCCCACTGGCAAAAATGAAAAATGGGGCATACATCTCCTATGTTATTTATATGTTATCACTGCAGTCAGTGGGCAGAGTAGTGCAAATCATTCTATTATACTCCCACGGGCAACTGTACATTCACAGCTTGTGGTATACAGCACAGATTCATTTGTGCAGCTTGCATAGAGCTTGATAACCCTCATCAGTGCACGATACATGACTTCAATGTAGAAGAGCTCAGGTAGCAACAACACAGTAAAACCACTAAGATGATCGTGATGTGGGTCAAAATAGGATCTCAAGAAGCCGAATGGGAAGAAAGGGTAAAAGGTATATTTGTAACTAATATCCTATCCTGTTCCTGTGTTCTAAGTTCAGTATTTTATTATGTAGCTGTGACTGTAGACAGTCGCTTCTCGGCCTTTTGGCTAAGATCAAGTGTAGTATGTGTTCTCATCTGTGATCAGGAGGGGAAAGGAGACGTCGTACTGGCCTTCTGGCTTGTATGGCAGGAATCTGAGTACGCTGCCTAAGTGATGGGGTCCCAAGGGGTCTTGTCTATGGAAAGGAAACCAAATTGAGCGTCCACTCACGTAAGAGTGGGGTCAGGAGTACTTGTCGGGTGCTGGCATCTGGCATGGCCCAGTTCCTCCTGATTTGAATGGATCTACCTTGTCTGGCCATGGGCTGGGAAGGCACAAAGCCTGTGGTGTTTAATGCCTCCTGGAGTGGTGACCCAGGGGTGCCCTAGTAGCACTATGGGTTTGGGACCCCACTGTGTGAAAGGCATGTTGGCCACGACACCATTGCTTTTGTTGTACATCCCCTCTTGGGCTAGGCCTTTTGGCTAACACCAGGGGTAATTTTTATTACCGGGGGGAGGTCAGGGGTGGGCCCTGCCTCTTTGGGAGACGGACCCTTTAGATAGTGCCCCTTCTGTGCACTTTTTGTGTGTTTTACATCCACTTTTTTGTTCACTTTTTGGGTGTTTCGATGCACGCTCCACAGGCTAAAAAAAAAAGATATTTCTTAAAGCACAAGATATTTACATGTCTTATTCTATCACAGATCCTGAAAATAAGGGGACTATTCCTAATTTCTGGATAGTGGGGTGAGCCATGCATATAATTCCTTTATGCCCCTTGGCATGCAGTACTACTGCTTCGGTATAGCACAGGGACAGCGTAATATTATTGAGCCATTTATTTCAAAATGCATACAACTGTTTCAGATTTGTTCACAATCATCAATGCCGTTCATGGCAGCAATGGCTTCCATGTGGTTGGGCTTGGGGACCAATGAGAAAGTATTATAGTATGAGTGAGTGGAGGGCTTTTGGTTCCTTCTGACCAACCTCACTATAACTCTTTCATTATAAAGCAGTAAATATTGTCACATGCCTGATAACAGGACCGCAGTCTTATGGTTTAGTTGGTCTCTGTACCCTGTATTCTTGTGTGAGAGCGACTAACAATATCGTTTTGACCGTGGAATGCTGCCCCAGGGCAGATGTCTTGATGATGGAATGCCGCAGAGCTGGGCACATCGGCCCTCCGCTGCATGTTGGTGGCACACCCTAGGCGTGCAGCAAGACATGAGGAATGGAGTCACTTGTTTCCTTTAATAGTTTGCGCTCCTGTTTTGGATGTGGCTGAAAAGCTAGATGGACCTGGAACATTGTAATGACACAACCATCTTGTCTGTTTTCAATAACAGACGTCTATTTTATCAAAGTCTCCAGTCGTGTCTTGTCACAATAAAAATAGATGACGTCGATGAACATGGCTGCCGCTTCTTTATCAGCTCTTCCTTTGCCAGGCTAACCCATCAGTATTCATGTGTACATGTCCAGTCTCCTCTGCCCTAGCTTCAGCATCATTAGGGATGCACCGATAGCGGTATTTCGGTATCGAGTACGATATTTTTTGTGGTACTCGCCAATACCGATACCGGGAGTCCCATTAACCAGTTGACATCCGCGGTGTTAAACCCCCTTCCCATCCAGGCCATTTTTCAGTATTCAGCGCTGCGGTACTTTGACTGACATTTATTCCGTCATGCAGCGCTGTACTGAAATGAATTTTATACCATTTTTTGGGGACAGATAGAGCGGACACGAACGAGCACATATAGACGATCGGCTGGCTATAGAGCCGCTGATCGCCTATATGTGAAACACCCGGTAACGGGTGTGTGCAATGGTCGGGTCTTTTCTGCCCATGCGTGCCCGCTAGGGGGCGTGCGCGAGCAGAAAAAAAATGCCGCCTGGCGACGGCAACCCGCCAATGCAGCAGTGCCGTCCGTCCGTTTTTTTACTACGGGCGGACGGCAAGAGGTTAAGGAAGCCAGGTGGCGTGTAATGACTCACTGCCTGGCTTCCCGATTAGCAGGGAAGCCGTCTCCATGCTTCTCGTCACTATGCTACATGTGGTTCATCTTGGACCACATGTAGCAAAAGATAAAATTGGGTGCTACAGACAAAACCATCCCCAAGGTGGAGACTCATAGTTTAGAGTTAGGACCGCACTACACAGAGGGGCCTTGACGAGGCTGTGCGGCTTTCACATATTCTGCAGAACACGTCTATCTAAACCTCGGTTTTTAACCTTAGCGGTTAGGCAGGTTTTTTTCTTTGCATGCTGGCTGGTGAGTGTGCTGGGAAACTTTTTGCTGTTATAGGGTCTCTTCAGAAACGCACCTCTGCTCACATATGAGTTGTGTAAAGTAGAAGAAACTTACAAATGTAATGATAACATATCTAAATGTGGTTTTTAATGTGCCTATGTTGGTTAATCTGCTCACCTGTCCCAATGACATTTTGCAGGGTGCGAGAAGCAGCTATGGGCAGCCTAATGGATGTCACATTATTACTGGTGGGAAGCGAGCCCGACCTCATAGGAGAAGACTTGTAAGTAACACACACACAACAACAACACTGCATGCAGTGACAAGGAAGATCTTGTCTAAAGTGCTCTTTACCTGCAATGTAGAACATTATTTAGGAAGCTGTGTAGTATATCTATAGTCTGTAGTGTAAAGGCAACACTTATATATATTTTAAAGTTTTGGATGGAGTATGGTAGGGCTAGGACCCCAGTCGCGTTTTCATCGTTGTCTGTGTTTTCAAATTTGTACATATCCCACCAAAGTAGGCGGTCAGGAGGAAATCTTCCTATATGGTTTAGGAGGGGAGTTACTTTTTGAGGGGAATTTATCAAAATCTGGAGCAATTGCCCATGGCAACCAATGATCTTCTCTCTTCAGTTTGTTCAGTTAAGATTTGAAAATGAAAGGGAGAAGCTGATTGGTTGCCGTGCACAACTGCTCCAGATTTTGTCTGTTTTGAGAAATTCCCCTTAGATTCTTCTCATTACCTGTTGCATCTCTGGGACGGGAAGTAAAGGGAAAATTTGCTATCGGGGACGCAGCAGAAAAAAAAAAAGACAGTTTTTGTTTTTTAGACGTTGCCTACTCTATCCAAAATGTTAATCCTTAGTAATGTATACCTGTTTCCCCGGGGTCTACTGGCTGGTCACATGACATCTTTGGGTATTCTTCTCCTTCCTGTGTTGGTGGACAGTCATCAGTACTATGAAGAGCAGACATCATATTGTATCATAACCTACCCCCATGAAGTGTGTCCATCACCACCTGGGCTCACAGGAAGTGGGTTCAATAATTTTGGAATCCTAGCAGAGGAGTGAAGGTGATTGGCTTTGTGGGTGATTCACTTTACATCAAGTGCATGTAGCGTTCAATCTCCTGATTGGTTCACAAGCATTTTCCGACCAGTCCCCTCTTGTTCTTTGTTGCAGAGTTGCCCTTGAACTAGTCTTTAATTCTTTATCGGATTTTAGTTTTGTGTCTCAGCTGAAATAAAAACATGGCTGGGCCTTCCATTCAAAGATCTGACCGTTGTCTAATGATTATTACCTGCCGCTATCTCTTGCAGCTGCCGAAGAATGATGTGTGCCATAGCTCAGCAGTCTGCTGAGAAGATTGACCGCTTCCGAGCTCATGCCGGCTCGGTGTTCCTCGGCCTTCTTTATCAAGATAACCCGCCTGTGCCGCACATTCCACACCGGGAGGAGCTGGAGCGAATATTCCCTAGGTAATCCGATACGTGACCTCTTGTACCGGACGCTAGCAGTGATTCTTTGCAGTGAGAAATGACTGGTATTCTGTGAGGATAAATGTCAGGTTCTGATATTCATTGTGATTGGCTGTTACAGACTTCTCCTGCTTATCAATAAAAACAAGCAAATTGGGGGCCTCCTGTTAATTTCACAGACAAGCATGTGTCATGTGGATCAATGTGATAATCATGTCTCCTCCTTCTGATTCACCGATATACCGACAGATTACATATCTGCTTGTTTATCTTTTACATTTGTATATAAGCACCAATATTTGTTATAACCGCAGCATATGCCTTCCTCCCCAGATCCCAGGCAGGTTCATTGAACTGGAATGCCCCGTCACAGGCCTTCCCTCGTATCACGCAACTTCTGGGATTACCCACATACAGATATTGTGTTCTTTTGGGATTAACAGTTTCTGTCGGTGGCTTAACAGAATCAACGGTAAGAATATTATTTCCTGATATATGTAATGTTCTTGTGCCCGGACCGTACAAATCTCTGATACTCACTGAAAACCGCAGGACATGGTCTGGTTTGTTTACTGCGGGCCCTTTGTCCTCTTCTTCCCCTCAGGATTCCCTTATCACCCTTACTGTGTGCTTATCTCTTAATTGTTAATTAAGTGGGGGTGTGGCTTAGTGAGTGTCATCCTCAGGGGTGGGACCTTAGGTAATTAGGGGGTGTAATCATTTCAAGAAATGAAGAAGAGAGGATACAAACATGTCAGCCGGAACAAAGGGGTGATAAACACTATATTCTGCATGTGTCTCTGTTGTATGTACTATAAATGAAAGATATTTATATGGTTTGTTGCCCCTTTAAATAAATCTCTAAGGACTCATTCACATGGAGCATATTGCCCCATATAGCATGAAGGGATGGTTTTTCATGTGCCCGGAGTTGGAGGAAGACGCGTGCAGACTGATCATGTAAGTCTGTGAAGACACAGGAGGCACCCTCGCACACTGCTTCCCGCAGTTCTGAATTTTGACAGCCACACACAGACTGTGCACAGACCTGGATCCATCATACATGCGTCCGTGGCCGTACACCATCTGTGTGCAGCTGTCAAAACTCGGAGCTGCAGGAAGCAGAGTGTGAGGGCGCACAGCTCCTACATCTCCATAGACTTACATGAGCTGCCCGCTCGCTTCTTCCTGCAGCTCTGGGCGCATGAGAAAATGGCCCTTCACACCATATGGGGCAACTCACCCAGTGTGAATGAGCCCTAAATTATGTTTCTGTGCAAAGTGGCAGCATGACCAAATTATCATTTTAAGCAAAGAACCCTTCCTGGGAACACGCATGTGTGCTGCCTGCTTGCCGCATACATACATGTGAGGGCGTTTGATTTTTTTGGTTATTGTGTATTTGCAGTACATCATACAGTACATCATACATGAGTAGTACCGAACCAGGAAACAAAAATCACCTTCTGCGCTGTACTAGGAATGGGATGCAGTTGTGGGGAGAGGCAAAGACACTTTATTGCTCTTAAAGTGATATTAAAGTCAAACTATTTCAAATGCTGATGAAATCACTTACAATGGAGGCTGCTCCTTGATGTTTAAAGGTTTTAGCTTCCTACAGAATCAGCTGGTCACCTGAGCATCCTGACTTTCTGATTGAGGGTGGCTCCTTTCCTTTGCAGGGTCCCATGGAGTTACCCTTGTGTGTGCTACTAAGCTGTGTGTGTCTCCACAAATACACAAACAGAGCAAAGGAAGTCACTCCCCTCTGCTCCACCTTTTTACTAAAGGCAAATTAATATATCTCCCTTTACTTCCTGGAACTCTGGCACATGTGACTAGGACATGTGACCATGCACATCATCTCAGGGGAATTTCCCTGAGATCTCATGGGATTACAGATGAGATTCCCCAGCAATGCTCTGCTGATGTGACCTTCCCAGGATGCAACGCTTGGTCACAGATTATACCATTTGTGCCAAAGAGAACCAGGAAGTAGAAAACAAAACAAATGTAAATAAAATGAAAATATGTTTGGCTAATGAATATAAGATGATTTCATATCAGGATGCAGAGCTGTACGCTGAGGTGATTTCTAGCCAAAGGGAGTAAAGGTCCGCTGTAAAATGACGAATGGCTGATGCTTCCGGTACAAACTGTGTCTGCTGCAAACAACAACGCTATATGTACATCTATAAACCATTCCCGGTATACGGGGAGGATTATCTGTCAGCGATCATATGTAATTGTATCACAAACCTGTTTACTTTCTGGATGAACTCCCAGGAAATGTTCTGACTTCTGCAACCTCAGCCGCCAGTATTCTGCTTCCTGTCCCTGTTCTGTTGGGGTTAATGTGGCCCCCAAATAATAACGTTTGATGTAGAAGTGGCATTTCTTTTCTCCTCTAGAAGAAGGAATTACGGCTCTGCCCATTAGAAGGTTCAGAACATAAATAACTGTCTTTTGGTTATATTAAATTTCTTCCCATTTCTGAGCACTTTACCGGAGCCCGTCAGGGGAACTCGCACAAGCCCCTTCTTGCCCGCAGGCTTCACAGTATGAGGAGAAACCCACAATCAGTGTAATCGGGGCTGATTATTCCGATCAGGTTACACAAGGGAACACTGTAATTACTGTTTACATATCTTGAAAAACCATTTCACTTTGCTCATCAGCAAACACTTAATCCCACAGTTCAGTGAGCGGTGCTGGCTTTGTGCAGCGTGAGACAGTCTGAGCATAAAAAGGCTTTTTTTTTTCTGGTCCCTTGAGGGATACAGGAAGTCTTTTACCTGCCGGTTATACTGCCGCCCACAGGAGGATTTGACAAAGAACAAACCTGTAGGCCAGCCCATGAGAATCCCCTCTGCTACCAGCATGACTCAGTATTTAGTGTCCTCAGGGGATGAAGGCCTTTTCTTCAGCTGTACTTTATAAAAACATAGGGGAAGAAGAAGGGTGCGGGGCTTCATGTGTTTAACCACCTCCCTTCCATGGCCATTCCTGAACGGCCGGACGGGAGCCCTATAGGAGCAGGAGGGCATCTCAAGATTCAAGCGATCGGGCGTCTATAGACGCCCCTATAGCTTGTAGTAGGTGCTGGTGAGCACCCCCTTCACCGTCGCTGCCGTTCCCGAGATCCTGGGACCAGCACGACGATTCTGTCACTGGAGATCAAAGGGAGATCAGTACATGATCGTCCTCTGGTCCCCCGAATGCAGGAAGTGATGTATATTACATCACTTCCACATTCTGCTGTCACTCTCCAGCTTCAGAAGCCGGAGAGAAGCTGATGAAGCAGATTTCTGGGGGTCCATAGGTGACATTAGGGATCTTGGAGACCCCTGATGTCTCCATAAAGAGGACCTGTCATGTGAATTGTCTATCACATAGGGGGAATTGTCACAAATAAAAAAAAATTAAAATAACACAATTTTTTTTTAAAAAGTCCCCCGCCCCCCCACATACACACACACAAACATGCATCAGGTGTGCCTACGTGCGAAAACATATTGCCGCGAACATCGGAGTGAGAGCAATACTTCTAGGGCTAGCTATAAATCACTGATAACACTAAACTGATGAGCGGCAAAAGCTTTTAAAGTGTCACTTATGGCCAATCTTGGGTGTGGTCGTTTTCTGCGATTTCGCGGGCGCGCAAAATTTTAAGGCTTGACATGTTTGGTGTCTATTTACCCAACATGACCCCGTCTTTTATATTTTACCAAAAAATTGGGGTCATAATGTTTCCTGCTAATGGTTTCACATTAAGAGAGACGGTTTAGCTTGTAGTGATGCAGTGTGCACCACTCTGACAATCGCTGTTTCTTCTACCACTGCTGCTTCGTGTCTTGGGTCTCTAAGAGCCTCTGAGACAGCAAAGAGTTTCCCATTGCACTGCCTGTGCAACACCATTCTTCAGACATTGGAAGCACCCTGCTAAGATGTTTGCTCCCCCCAACCCTTTACAGCCTTGTACCCAGTGCACTCCCAATGTCCTGCCTTAACATAGCGTCTACCATACTAGTAGAGGATGCACCTGTCTTTAAGGACTGTTTTCGCTGGCAGCTCCTGCTCTTCAGCCCATCTTGGCTGTGACCTTACTCTGCCAAAACTATCTACAGTGTTGCAGTCTGAACACTGGGGGACCGAGATAGACACGGCCCCGGTTGGCGGAGGCTGCGGGCGGCTCAAGTAAGATGCAGGCTGGAAGCAAGATGCAGAATGGAAGCAGGCTGGGGAGCTGCAGGTAAGAAGAGCAGCATGTGTGCAGGGAAAGGGACCCTGCACAGCCCACCTTAAAGTCTCTGTGCAAGGTCTATGGTGGGCTCTGGGGGGTCTCTGGTGGGGTTTGCAGGAACTCAGATGGGCACTGCAAGGTCTATGGTGGTCTCAGCCTGACATCCTGCAGTGCCCTCCAGAGATCCTTTACAGCCCACTTTAGACCCCGGCTTCCCTGCAACACTAAGGCCTCATTCACACTTCTTAAGGCTGTGACACACTGCACGCGAAGCAGCGCGGAGCGGTGGCGCGCTGCATTCGCGAGCAGTGTCATGTAATTTTCTACTCGGCACCTCAACTTGCGAGAGCTCGCGTAGCTAAGCGTGCCGAGATGAAATATTTCATCTTCAGCCAATCGGCTCGCGCGTATAAACCGGCGTGTTGCGATGCGACGTTTGGCTGGTTGTTATGCAGGAGCCGATTGGCTGAAGGTGCAGTCAATCATGTGCCTGCACTCAGCTCACACACAGCACGCAAAGCTCCGTGCCGGACAGCTTTGCTTCGCTCTGCACGGCTTTGCGTGCAGTGTAGGTCACGGCCTTCAGAGTTGGCCCATAAACATCCGTGCTGGTGCGGGTGTCCATGCTAGGACGCAGATAGGATCCATCCTGTCTGTGTACGAGTACGGACATCCACACAGACGTGCAGTTCAGGTGAGTGTACGGCTGCGTCCTCCCATAGAGAAGAACAGGCTGCTGCGTACAAATCACACGCAGCGCCTGTCCTTCCTGGGAACGGCCTGATACGTCCGTGCACGTCCCACGGATCTGTACGGGCCGACTTTAAGCAGTGTGAATGATGCCTAATAGCCCAATCTGTCAGAAGGTGTATTCAGTCGACTTGAAAGAATACGCAAAATGTCTTGTTAGATGGGGGGGGGTGCCTAGTTTCGTTTTGCCTAGGGCAGCACGAAACCTAAATACACCACTGGGTACATGCATGTAATAAAAGTCATATGCCAATGGCTAAACCATCTTCGTCAGAACCAAATACCATGTCATGGTTTTGGTTCTGACGAAGATGGTTTAACCATTGAAATGTGTTAACCCTTACCTATCCATTGCATTTGATGATGCTCTGATGTCCGGTCAGCTTAGTGGCATATGACTTTTATTACATGCATTTACCTACATGCTGTTATACACATGGAGTATAAAATGTACTTTTATATCCATTTTTAATAAAAAA